TTCTCCCTAAGGTTTCTTCCCTTTTTTCCCTCTTGTAAGGGTTTTTTCATTTTTTGGGGAGTTTTTCCTGTGCCGATGGTGGGTTTCGGGGCAGAGGATGTTGTATGTGTACAGACAGTAAAGCCCTCTGAGGCAAATTTGTAATTTGCGATTATGGGCTATACAAAATAAAATGAATTGAATTGAATTATCTGAGGACAGCAGAAACAGAATGTCATTTGGCCACAGGAAAAATACATGACAATAACCAATCTACTGCAGTAATCTGGCGACACACTGTGCAGCAAGGCTTGTTCCTGCCAATTCAAACAGTATTAGAGGGAGTAGTGGGACTGGACAACATGGATGAAATCACATGGAGAGACCATCTAACCCACTTTTACAAAATACAGTGAGCTGCGGAGAAGACGATGACGCATCGACTCCTGGAGATACAACTGGCAGCAGCTGACGCAGAAGCAACAGAAAAACAGCGAGTCAGGAAACAATTGCAGGTGACAGACGAACAACCCCAATACCCCGTTCTTCCAGAGGCCCAATATCCTGCCCCAGCAGTCAGAGACCGTTCAATGGGTGACCAGCAACCTCCACCTCAGCGCAGAGGACGTGGAAACAATAGGGGAAGAGGAGATGAAAGCTACTTATGCGGACAGACGGGTCATTGGTCTAGAATATGTCCAACGAACATGCAGTTCAGTGCAGCTTCTCCACGGTCTTCCCGTCCAAAGCAGCCCTGGCAGAACCAGAGGGTCCACCTCACCTCCACCCCCTCATGCAACCCCAAAGCAGACGAGGCTCAGATAAGCACCCTCAGCCTCCCCAGTTTACGACTCACATTCCAGGTAGAAGGGAGACTAGAGATTATAGACTGCGGAGAGTGTCCGCAGAAACTAGACTTAAACCCGTAGGAAAGATTGATTTAAAAAGAGTGGAAAGACAAGGCATTATTTAAGTTTTACCGGCGAAGATCGACCGAAGCCCAAGTTGCACGTTTTTGACTACCGTTTTTCTGTTTAAGCCGAAGGACGTGAATTAAACCTTTGTTTACATTTTGTGTGTGTGTGTGTGTGTATGTGTATTGGGCGACACTGTGGTTAGCACTGTCGCCTCACAGCAAGAAGGTCCTGGGTGCCCAGTGGCCTTTCTGTGTCGAGTCTGTGTTTGTGTGGGTTCTCTCTGGGTACTCTGGCTTCCGCCCACAGCCCAAAGACGTGCTCTGGGGCCGGTATTTCAAAATGATCCCACAGGATTAATCCTCCTGGATTGGATTAAATCCTCATCAGATCCTAAAAACGGGTATTTCAAAGCAAATCTGATCCTGAAGATTCAGATTCAGATTTGGTAATCCAATAAGCACGTGATCAACATGCACGCTGTTCACTGCAATGCTTTAACCAATCGGCGCCAGAAGTGCAACACAGAATTTACATTAGGCTATTACTTAGTGACATTACAAACTCAATAACACGAAATTATGAAGGAAAAATGTTGCGATTTATATAACATTCAGTGTTAAACATAAACTACATTTCATTAATCTTTTAACTGTTTTTCCAGCAACTGAATTCTTAACTTAACTTCTTGTTTAAGCAGTGTCCGTTTAATTTGTTCATTTGTGAGAATGATTTGTTGCTGATCCCGTTCCGTTTACACCTTTAATAAATTATTGTAGCCATCCCCTTTCTCTGCTTGCCTTTTGCGCTTACATGGTGGTGGTGCTGGTGGATTCCCCATCTCCTCCAAGACAGGGCTCCGACTTGTGCAGTTTTTTGTTAAGTTATACCCACTGATAAAGGCCTCCACTCAAACCAGTCAAATGTATTTATTAATATGCATGCAGCACACACACTTAATTTTCATAGCCAAAGCTCAAAAGGTTATGCCATTTGGAGCAGGCCCGTGTTAACTGGCTGTCTTCTCTTTCTACAGACATCTGTAAAGAAAAACAAATATTTAGGTGTTAGGGCTGTCCCTTTAGTTGACAACTGTTTCCTAAAAAGATATGTACAACACATTTCAAAATCTACACACAATGCCTTGCGAGTAAATTCATTCAAATGTGGACTGTGGACCGCGACATACAGACGCTAGCCTATTTACCAACTTGTTAGCTCCTTAACACAGAAGTCAATGGAGCAGCGTTAGCTCGCATTAGCGCGAAATCTGCTTTATTTGAGATCGCCGAGCTCTTTTTTCAACTTTGTGCTGATTTACGTAGCTGGTTAACCCAATATAATGATTTCCTTTCATCTAGTCTTAGGATGCATCAACACTGACCAAGACTATACTTACATTTAGAGACAATAGTTGTGCCAGCTTCTCCTTTTTTCTGTAACATATTCGCTCCATTTCCTGTTTCCTGCCTGTGATCCACGGGGCGGGACGGATTTGGACATCCCAATCTGCCGGTATCAGGATCACTCTGATCCAATCCGGCAAAGTTTTGAAATACCGGGATAGATCAAGTTGATCCGTGGGTGAGGACAGGGGGATTTGGTTATCCGGATCATTCTGATCTGGATTACAAGTTTTGAAATACCGGCCCCTGGGCCCGGTTTTTCAAAAGTAATCCACTAGGATTTTGGATTGGATCAAATCTTGAAAATGGATTTTTCAAAAGAAAAAACGGATTACATAATCTGATTAGATCACGCAATCCAATCTTGGTTTTGATCCGGATCAAACCTTTAGTTTGGGTTTTTCAGAAGTTTTTTGTTTGGATCACTTTGATCCAAAAAATCTGGATTAAACTGATCCCATCAGAAGGGTGGATTCAGCATGGATTTCATGCCCAAAATGTAATGAAAACTTTAAAAATGTATCAAATAATACTAGATTTGGATCATGCAGTATCTTACAAGATATCCTATAAGGTTTTAATTTTATTTGTTCATCCGTCAGGCTACAGTGATTAGGTAGGCTTTAACGTATTCAGCCTTTCAGTATAAGCCTACAGCAAATAGTTTGGACTCATAAAATAATCCCCCAAACAGCTGTCAAAATTGACCAAAAACAATACATTTTATTCGGTCACTAATTGATATATATTCATCACAATCGAAAATACGTTTTTAGAATATTTATTAGTGATGCATGCAATTACAGAATAACCAAAAAAATGCAAAGAATGGCAATCACTGATTTTTGAAATCCAAAACAAATCGAAATCAGAAATAGCGTCCCTTGTTGCACGTCCTTTTTGCTCGTTCTGGCAGAGGAACAACTGACTGACCAAACTGCAGCAAACCAAGGCCAGACTTGAGATCCGCCTCCTAAAGGCTACGCTCAGACAAGCTGGTCTCTCCACATCAGATGAGGAAGTCTGAAATTATTGTGGAGTATTTGACATTAAGTCTTTTTTTTAATTCAATACATCTATATTTGAAACTTGTTATACATATCCTCAATGTACAGTGTTTGTGTTGTAGGTCTCAGATGAGCGGACTGCTGGAAGAGGATGGAGTGGGGTTTTTCTTGTTTTTAGTTTTTTTTAAATGTGTGTGTTTTCATTTCAAATAAAAATAAACTTATATTGACCCCACACTGGCTATTCTACTTGTTGCTCTTTACATATCTATAGTTCTACATTGTGATTTCCTCTCCTGTTTGAGCACTGGTTATCCAGATTTGGTGATCCTGAAAAGTTCCTATCCGGATCAGATTGATCCAATCCGATGTTGCTTTGAAAAACTGGCTCAAAAGTAAGGTGGATTACGTGATCACGGATCGCAAAAAAAAAGGATTACTAAATCCGGATCAATTTTATCCGGATTAAACCTTTTGAAAAAACGGGCCCTGGGGATCAGGTTGATTGGTAACTCTAAATTGCCTGTAGGTGCGTAGATGTGAGTGTGAATGGTTGTTTGTCTCGGTGTTAGCCCTGCGATTGGCTGCCGACCAATCCACGGTGTACCCAGTCACCCGAAGTTGGCTGGGATAGACTCCAGCCCCCCTGCGACCCTGTGTGCAGGATAAGCGGTTTGCAGATGGATGGATGGATGGATATATACTTTTTTTAATCATTATTTTTTTTCACATTTCATGATGACACAAGGACGTTACTGGCGTGGACACCTGCGGCTTGTATATGTACACATCTTTTTTTCGTTCTAAATTTAGTTTGTGTGGCTTATATTCAGGTGCGCTCTATAGTACGGAATTTACAGTAAGTCAGCCAAAAACACAACCAACTCCTGACAACACCCCTTGTGCTGTGCCACTAATTGGTAACAGAGTCTGTTAAACTGTTTCACAGCAAGTTGTAGATGTGTCGTTTAATAAACCGACTTCATTCTTTATTATCAGGCAGCACATACAAGTCTCTTAAGCCTCACATGTTGATTCAAAATGCTGCAGCATGAAACTAAGAACATGAATCATATTACTTTTATAGTAGCTTCTCTGCACTGGCTCCCTGTTAAATCAAGAATAGTATTTAAGGTACTTCTCACCTCCAAGGCACTTGCTGATCAGGCACCTTCTTTTAAGGAGCTTATGGCACCTTATTGCCCTACTAGAAAGCTGTGCTCCTTAAATGCTAAGTTGTTTGAGTTTCCTAAAGTCGTCCGCCCTCATTAACCAGCTTGACCTTCCCTGATTTCTCTCATCATTTGACATATTGTCTTACGCTATGCCTTCCAACATCCCTTGCACTTACCTGGCTGGTTTTGCCTGTTTTAATTCTTTACCTCTTTCCCCAGTCTTCACTGCTTGCCTGGTTTGGACTTGGACTGTTTATCAGATTAAAGATTTTGGAATTTCTCCTAACTTGCTCTCTTGAGTCGTTATTGCTGGTACCTGCCTGTTCTGTGCCGACATTTACAGGCAAGGCAATGAAATTGTAGTCAACTTGGAATCGTATTGCTTAATTTCAAAGCTCACTGACATGTTACATAGGCTTCACAAAAAATGAATAAAAAAGATCAATCAACCAACACGAAAGCACAATGGATGCTCTCAAGTGGTTGATTCAGTAGTGGTGGAAGTCTTTGTGTACCAACCTTTTTCACAGCTTGGTAGGTCTCCACTCCAGGTAAGATCCCATTGACACATGCGCAGCTCAACACCCACAACTTGATAACCTGGGTAACACTGATAGGTTACCACGCTGCCCTGAACCAGCTCGGGGTGAGAGGAACTCTTCCAGCCATTAGAGATCTCTGGAAGCTCGGGGCATGTGTCATTACGGGATACTTCTGTAGGTTAGTCAGTATGCATAGGGGTGGTGGGGTGGGTGTTAGAGGGAGACAAAAAGGAAGCAATTAGGGAAACAAGGTTTGAGTTACATAAAGATACTAATGTATATTTCTGTCTGGTGAACACTTTGGTTCATTGCAAGAAATCTTAACTGGCTGCTAATTGCACTTATTGTCAGAAGATAATCCGTTTACATTTTGAATCCTTCTTGAGTTTTCGTTTTAAGTGACACCAGTGTTTTCCCTAGGTTTACAACTTGCAAGAGCAATAGGACTGGCAACGTAGTTGTTGGGAGAACATACTAAATGACGACAGGGAGGAAGGGGGGAAACCTGCTGTTGTGTCTTCATTAACTCTTATCAGATAAAGTCTGCTGGCTAGGTGTGGTACTGAGGGAAATGGCCACACCAACACAAGGCAGAGCTACGGTGGCCCTGAAGTGCAAAACACAACGGCAAATAGGAACGCACAACAGCAAATAGGAAAACACAATGACATTAACTTCTAACGGAAAGGGTAGGGCCTTATAGCAGGAAGCAGAGGATGGAACCTTCTGATTGGACAGACGGACTGTGTCTTTTAACAGGAAATGATACAGGGCTCTCAAGTGTCACGCACTCCCGCCACACATACAATTCCTCACGCCAAGGAATCTGACTCCGGTCCCCATGCCGCGTCGCGTCCCGCCCCCCCAACTTTTATTTACAACACCTAAATATAATTCAACAACAAAACACCGGTAAAACAATGGTGAAACACTAGGACACTTTTAAGACACTCAAAACATCGCCATCTCTCCGTGACTTTCTGCTGTGGCTCTCCTGCTGCGTCACTTCCCCCCCTCATCACAGGCTCTCCCGCCACTGATTAATTGATTGACAGAATATCGAGAAAGTGGCATTTCTCAGATTTCAAAATCCGATTGTGCAAATAGTTATGGAGTCACGGTAATTTGAATCCTCAATGTCACTTTCCGTTGCCGGCGAAAGGCTTCGGATTAAGAGGGTTAAAAACAGACAGTCCGTCTGTCCAATCAGAAGGGTCCATCCACTGCTTCCTGCTACAAGGCCCTACCCTTTCCGAAAGAAGTTAATGTCATTGTGTTTTCCTATTTGCCGTTTGGTTTCTGCTTATTGCTTCCATTTTTACGGTCTGTAAAAAACAAATCCCCCAAGATGTAAAGTAGAGGTATAGAGTTGGAGTAAGGTACGGGTGGCCTAACGTAGTCCAATTGGTTGAGTTATCATTGGACACTTACAATGATAACTCACCCACTTGAACTCACCATAGAACTTACCAAAGAAGTGGACTTTGAAGCCGTTGCCATAGCCGTAGACATTGGTGGCAGGGTCAGACTGGAACTGGATTGTGAGGTCCGCTGTGGAGGTGTAAAGTTTAAATCGCGACTTTGATCCTCCATACTGACCCAGTACTTTAGCTGTCAGGTCATCTCCGTCATAAAAGGTCAATAAGTCCTTATTTCCAATCTTCAACCTGAAATGGGGGACACAAACAAAAAAAAGTATTTAGTGTAAACTTTAACAAAATATTTAGTTTGTTTTCATGTGCATTAAAACTCAGGGGCACATTTCACTCTGTACACAACCTACAGGTCAAACACCAGAGCCCCGTTCCTCGTATGTCGTTCAACTAAGTTAATCAAATGTCCTATTAGCTAGCTTAAATTAACCCCGATGATTAAAGTCAGGTTGGAGTCTGATCTTGATTGGAGGCTGATCCGCTCTCAGAAAATCTTAAGTCAAACCAGACTTATAGTAAGTAAGCAGTAAGTAATCAGGATAATGTGCGCATGTCCATCCTAAATGAATGAATTGTGAATCTTGAAGCACTCTTCCTTTTAAACGCTATTATAACCAGTGTTGGGAGTAACGAGTTACACAGTAACGCATTACTGTAATTCCACTACTTTTAGCGGTAACGAGCATGTAACAAAGTATTTTTTTTATAAATTAACGCAGTTACAATTACTGAAATGAGTTAGTTACTAGTGTTACTCTTTTGCAACGCGAAGCGGAGGGCCGGAAAATAGTAAGTAAATAGCTGCCTGTCAGCACAAAATAGTTGTGACCACCAAACGTTGTGTGTCACAGAATAGTCGCCGTACGTGCATGTAAACAGCATCACGTCGCTCATGATGAAAGACCTCAGGCCCGCGAATGCTACATGTATAATCACTGTTAGTCGTATACTATACGTGGGTTATCTAAATCGATACAAATGCACGGAGACGAGGATGCAGTACAGGTTAGGTAATTTACTGGCGCTCAAATCACACAACCGGCAGGCATGAACAAACAATCACAGAACTCAGTCGTAGTGACAGGCTACAATGGCGGACCCAAATGCACGACTCAGGAAACAGGGTAATCTGTTTATTGCTCCCAGAGAGATGCAGGCAACAGTACAGGTCCAACATGCAGGTAAACGTGGTCGTAGAAACAGGCAATGGGTCCAGGTACACGAGAAGACAAAACAACGCTGGAAAGTGAGTCGACATGGAGCTACAACAATCTGGCAGGGGATCAGTGAACACAGGTGAGCTTATATACACGGGGGAGGGGAAGACAACTAGACACAGGTGAGAAACATCAGAGTGAAGACCGGCAATCAACAGTCGGAAGACAAGTGACGTGAATAGGGACAAACAGTGGCCGTTTCTCAATATGCGTTCTTGTGTGGACTTTTGTTCTCGTGGACTCGTGAAACGTCATCAGTCACAGCCCGAGTACTGTTCCAATTCTCAAGTCCGCATCTGGCCGAGAACGGTCATAATACCCGGATGTGACTCGCCCCGCCCATTTTACCGGGCATGCATCGAAGCAGGCTCGTCTGTTCTTGTGAGAGACATATATCCCAGAATGCATTTCACCTCAGCAAGCTGCGATGGCAGATGAGATACTTGCGTGCGTAAACAAAGACCGCCTACTGTGGTGACGTCATCAAGTCAGCTGCTGTTCCAATTGCGGAAATGTCCGTTCTCCCGCACCCGTGAGTCAGGACTCCCGAGTCTGTCTCCCGAGTCTATTCTCGCGGGAACGCGAGTCCGTTCTCGCCGTCTTAGGTATTGAGAAACGGCCAGTGGGTGGAAAATAAGACAGGAAGTGCATGAAAACAGACTGAACACACAATAAGAGCAGAGGATGATCTTACAGTACCCCTTCCTCTAGGGCCGAACCCCGGACGGCCCAGGCACGTCAGGATGCATCCTGTAAAAGTCCCGGATGAGACTAGGGTCCACAATATTGCTGGCCGACACCCAATCCCGCTCTTCTGGGCCATACCCCTCCCAGTCCACCAGGAATTGACGGCCCCGGCCTGTCTTCCTGACCACCAACAGCTTGAGCACTGTATAAACAGGGCCTCCGCCAATAAGGCGAGGGAGGTGTGACCGGAACCAGTGCGCTCTCCTGACTGGCTTGACTCTGCTCACATGAAACGTGGGGTGTACTCTCATGGCCCTGGGCAGCTTCAACCGGACAGTCACAGGATTGATCACCTTGGTAACGGGAAACGGTCCCACGAACCGAGAGGCCAACTTCCGGCTCTCGGTGCGCAGAGGGAGATCCTTCGTGGCCAGGTACACCCTCTGGCCCACCTGGTAGTGAGGGACTGCAGACCTCCGCCGATCAGCCTGTCTCTTGTAGCGGTCCCCGTTGCTCAGAAGAACCCGTCGAGCCCTCGTCCAGGTCCGTCGACAGCGTCTGACCAAGGCCATGGCCGAGGGCACCCCCACCTCTCTCTCGAGGGCAGAGAATAGCAGCGGTTGGTAACCGTAGGCGCACTGAAAGGGCGACAAGCCGGTGGACGAGCAGGGCAGGGTGTTGTCGGTGAAGCCCAGAAAGGAGACCGTGGTCACATGCCGGACTCTGAGAAACCAGGCAGCGAAGGCCCTTCTCCATCTCTTGGTTAAGACGCTCAGTCGGTCCATTGGATTCCGGGTGGTCCGAAGATAAGCTGGCCCGAAGATAAGCTGGCCGTGGCCCCAATCAATGTGCAGAAGACCTTCCAGAACTGGGATATGAATTGGGGACCACGGTCAGAAACTACATCAGCAGGAAAGCCATGGATGCTGAAAACATGGGTGAGCAGAGCCACCGCCGTTTCTTTTGCGGTAGGCAACTTGGGCAGGGGGATAAAATGTACCATCTTTGAAAACCTATCCACGGCTGTGGGTACCGCTGTAACAAAGTCCAGGGAAATGTCCGACCAAGGCCGCTTGGGAATAGGCAGAGGCTGCAGGAGACCAACAGGAGCTTGACGTGAGGTCTTGTTTCGGGCACAGGTTGGACACGCCCACCAGAAGCGTTGCCGTATTACAAAAACTGTTCTCTTGACCCCCGGATGACGAGAGGAGAGATGTGTGGGCCCAATGGATGACCTGAGCCCTGAGACCAGCAGGGACAAACATGCGGTTGGGGGGGCAACCGGCAGGGACAATTGAACCATCTTGGGCCCTCTTAACCCGTTCCTCCACTTCCCAAGCTATAGCCCCAATAATACAGGTCGCAGGCAAAATGTTTACAGGTACCTCGGAACAGGGGTCAGGATCAAACAGACGGGACAGGGCATCAGGCTTCACATTCTTGGACCCAGGACGGTACGACAAAGTGAAGTTGAATCTGTTGAAAAACAGGGCCCACCTGGGCTGGCAGGCGTTCAGTCTTTTGGCCGAGCGTAGGTATTCCAAATTCTTATGGTCCGTCCAGACGATAAATGGCTGTTCCGCCCCTTCCAGCCAATGCCGCCACTCCTCCAAAGCTACTTTGACTGCCAGCAACTCCCTGTTGCCAACATCATAGTTTCTCTCAGGTCCAGACAGCTTACAGGACAGGAACGCACAAGGATGGAGTCTCTCATCCTGTGGAGAACGTTGGGATAGGACAGCACCAACACCCACATCAGACGCGTCCACCTCCACCACAAACTGGCGTTGTAGATCAGGCAGCATCAACACGGGGGTGGTGGTGAAGCGGTTTCAGGTGGGAAAACGCCCGCTCGGCTGCCAGGGACCATTGGAACGTAGTCTTGATTGACGTGATATTGTGAAGAGGCGCCGCCACTGTACTGAAATTCCTGATGAATTTCCGTTAGCAAAGCCCAGAAACCTCTGGACTTGCTTGCGAGTCGTGGGTGTTGGCCATTCGGCAACCGCTCGCCCTTTCTCCGGGTCCATCTGGATCACTCCTGCCGACACCACGAAGCCCAGAAAGGAGACCGTGGTCACATGAAACACGCATTTCTCGGCTTTGACATAAAGCTGGTTGTCCATAAGCCTCTGCAGCACCGGGCGAACGTGTTGCACATGAGTCCTTGTCGGCCGAGAAGATAACATGTCGTCCAAGTAGACGAACACAAATAGATTGAGCATGTCTCAGAATGTCATTGACCAGCGCTTGAAATACAGCTGGGGCGTTAGTAAGTCCAAACGGCATTACAAGATACTCGTAATGGCCTGTGGGTGTGTTAAAGGCAGTCTTCCACTCGTCCCCACTCCTCATTCTCACCAAGTGGTAGGCATTACGAAGATCCAATTTGGTGAAAATCTTTGCTCCCTGAAGCAGTGGAAATCAGGGGTAGGGGATAACGGTTCTTCACCGTGATGTCTTGTTAAAGACGTCCTTTAAGTCCAGGTACTCCTCGGGTACGCCCGAAAGATCCGGAAGGTCAACTGACTCCCCTTCTGCTGAGTGGTAGGAGCCATGGTGTCATTGCCCCCTACCTCCAACTTAGCCGGAAAACAGGTCTGCTCACACACTCCTCCCCAGCTGCGTATCGTGCCCGAAGGCCATTCCATGTGGGGGTTGTGCAATGTAAGCCACGGAAACCCAAGAACAACGGGGTGACCCGGGCAATCAAATACGTGGAAGGTCAGTCTTTCTGTGTGGCCATCAGGAAAAGTCATTGACACAGGGGACGTGCGATGAGTAATTCGCCAGAGAAGGCCTCCATTCAATCCTGTAGCGTCTAATGGCTTGGGAAGACGAATAGAGTTCAGCGACAAGTCTCTGGCGAGAACCGCATCCATCAGGCTGGTGTCCGCGCCAGGATCCACCAACACAGTCTGAATCCGAGAGACCGATCCGTTCACCAGTGTAACTTCTTGCTTGGGTCGAGAGGGACAAACAGGAACATATGTACGGCTCACCGGCGCGCCCTCTCCTACTGGTGAGCCCCATCTTTTACTGAACAGGAAGCAACGAAATGTCCAAACTGGGCACAATAGATGCAGCGGCGGTCTTGCGACGGTGGTGCTCCTCCGGCGACAGATGAGTCCTCCCCAGTTGCATCGTCTCCTCGGATGGCGAAACCCCCGGAATGTGAAGGTCCGTGACCGTAGATTGAGTACGACGAAACTCTCTGGGTGAGTCGAATCGCCTCTGCTGCCCAATAGGGTGAGTGCCAGGTTGAGTACGCTGGAAAATCCTCGATGTCTCTGGCGCCCTCGGCTGGTAGGTGGAGACCCCTCTCTGCTG